GATTCAATTAAATGCTCAGTGAAATTATATTTCCATTGCACGCCGCGAGAAGTTTTGGCTGAATATTGCCAGTGACAGTCGCAGTTGTTCAACTAAAATAGAACTAATTCCATATGCCTTGTAGCCAATTGCCAAAGAGACAGCGAAGCGGAGGAGACTGGCAAACAGCTGCCCAACTTATGACATGAAAATAATGTGGGCGAAACAATGAATTATGCACTTGGAAATAAGTTTGGAGCTCGGCAGCAGCTAAATTGGAACGCGCGACGATGCGGTGGCCAACAAAACCAGTTGGCAAATCACTCATAAATGGCCCAAAAAGCCGGGGCTCTCTGGTCATGGCTGCATTTTGCAACTTGCAACCGCGGCCCCAACTGCAGCTTGCAATTGGCAAACTTTTCGGCTGGCGGCTGGCAAATGGCTGGCAGACAAGGGGCAACAACAAAATTCGGTGCCATAAAATGTTGCCAAATGCAAAATGCGTTCATGGGGCTCATAATAATTCATAAGCAACATTTTGCGATGGCAGTGGAGCCTTACCTCTTCTCCTCATCATCCTGCTATCCTCGACGTGTGTTGTTGTGTATGTGTGAGTGGTGTGTGTGCCGCGTTATATTGCACAATAAACGCGTTAAGTTGAAAGTAATGCATCAACGTTTTGCGCGCGCCCCAAAAATGCAACGGAAAATTACACTTGATTACATAATACATGTTTTTAAATAACTTTGGTTTCCAAATAAAAAATATATATATTCATATTATTGGAAAAAAATTACCCCAAAGGATAAATTAATGAAGGTGCCATATTTGTATATATAATTTTATAAATTTCACTTAGTTTAATGTATCTTTAGCTTTAAATACAATATGGGGGAAAAAATATGCAAGGGATTGTTTTTCAAACTTTGGGCTAAAGTTTTGCTTTTAATTTTTTATATTTTTTTATCAAATCACTTTTTTTATAGCTTTTTCTTAAGCCATTAGAACTAAATTTGTAAGGTTGTGTAGTGGCAAGAACAGCAGAAACACGAGCAGCAACAATGAGGAGTATGTGCCACCATATGTTGCCATCAGACAGACTGACAAGGATGGAGTGAACATAGGCAACTGGATGAGGGCACCAAGGCTTTTGAAAGATGAAGGAGCAAATGAGGTTGCAACAGCGGACGTGGAAACTGAAGCCAAATGCAGCCAGGGAAAATGAAGTGAAGTGCGAAGCAGACATGAATATGTTTGCCACGCGGCGACTTTAAAGAGTTTCGACCGATCTGCGGATTAAGTTGTGAAAGGTGCTTCACAAATGAGAAAGCCAAGCTTCAAGCGAGTGGAAAAGGCCATCAGGAATATTAAAGGTATCTTCTTGATTTAATGTAGGAATTTAAAAAACTGTGAATACAGAATGAATTAATAAAGTTGTAATATTTAAAACTTAAATTAATCAGACACTGTTTCCCTATTAAATTTCAACAATTATGGTTTTCTGTGTAAAAAATGTTTTCCAAGCGAAATGTAAAAGTAATGGTAATTGAATGACTATCAATAAATGGATAATTTAAATGACAGCATTTCTTTGGTTGTTGTTGTAGGCTTTCAGCCAGACATTTTTGAAGTTATTTTAATATAAATAATAATAATGATTATATTGTAAATTACTTGTTGAGAAAAAAACTAAATTTTACCCAAATTTTAACTGATATGTCATCAATTATTTTTAAAATATGTCAAATCCAGAAGAAATTCCTCTTTGATGTCTTTTAGATGACGTCCATTTTTTTGACCTGCCTTGACATCCATAAAAATCTTGTTGAGTTCTTTAACCAATTCAATTTTGAGTGACTATTTTTTCGAAGCTTTCAAATAAAAGACAGCAGGCAAACAACATCATTTGTTGACACTGCTGCAGTGAAAAGTGCGTAATCATTTTGCCTGGCAACATGAAAGTAAAATTATAATTAATAAATCCATCATTGCGCTCCCGCTGGTCCAGCAGGCCTTTCGCTCTTGTTGCTTTTTCCTTTTTGTTTTTTTTTTTTAACTGAAACTCTGTTCATGTCGAGGACAGGCAGTGCCACGCCCCCTGCAGTGTTAATAAAATGCGTGAAATTTCCATATCCAGCTTGGGGGCGTTTATGCATCAGATGTGTTATGAATTTCAATGCAGCGCATGGGAAAAAAAAATAGACCGAATTCGAACCGAAAAAGTGCACTGCAAAAAAAAGCAAAAGAAAGGCACAACTAAGTGGGTGAGTGAGGCTTACTGGCATTGAGTGCGTTTTTGTGTGTGGGAGTGAAAGTCTTTCTCTGTGAAGTTCTTGACGCTGTCGCTGACATTTCACATTACATAAACGTATTTATGCAAATGGGCTGCGAGTCCTGCTTTCTACGTGTTTGAGTCCTGCTGCTCCTGTCTCCTTTTCCAACTACTCGTTGTATTTCCTTCCTTCTTTCGGGTTGAGTTCGTTGGTTGGTTGGTTGGTTTTTGTCGATGCGCCATATTTGCATGCATTTTAAATGACTCGGATATCAATTTTGACATATCACTTGACAGCTTAAAAAGGTTTATGTATTTATACAAACGAACACGGCAAACTGACAGAGGTAGTCTATCTCTTTCTCATTCTCATTCTCTCTACCTCTCTCACTTTCGCACAATGAGTGTGGGTCTTTTTCCATAATAAAAAAGGCGGATTTTAAATTTATTGCTTCATTAAAGCTTAATGCCCAACGGCATGAGTGTGCGTATTCGCTTTATTCATGTATCAGGTGAAATATTCAGGATCTGACTCTCACTTTTTTTCGGCCCCTGTGTTTTTTTTTTTTTTTTTGGTAACTGCCTCTGCTTTTTGACAATGTTTTGGGTCTGTGTTTTTACACGGCTTTAAAACATTTGAAAGTTATCCGACATTAGTTCGATGGCGAAATTTTGTTTTTACCACCCGAGTTCCTATGTTGCAAAATTAATACATTTGTAATTTAAACGTTTTGTTGCCCGGCGAACATTGAATAAAACTGCAACGAAAATGTGGATGTAAAATGCATGTTAGGTATTCGTGTTATTAAAATGTTAGCAATATTAGTTACAAAAATAAAAAAGCCAGACCGAAATTTCTAATATTCCTTGAATTATTAATGCTTTAAAGTATCAATTTTAAAGAGGCATAAACTTGAAAACTGTTGGATGAGAGCTAAGGGCAAAGTTAATCATAATGCTAGACCGAAGGAGAGGGCGGTGCGGTCAATCCATTAGTTTGGCCCACAAACTCAAGTCGAAAAGTCAGGGTAAATAATTAAATTTGCTGCGTAAATAAAACTTGGAGAGGCCGCCAAAAAGGCCGAGTACGAAACCAGAAGCTGAATGAACCACTTGAACAGCCTGTCTACGATGTCAAAGGCAGGCCCTCGGCTTTCTCTTCTTTCCCCTGCCGACTTTCTTCACTTTCTCTCCCCTTCCATCTGTCAGCTACTCCGATTGTGAAGCTGCTTTCATTTGGCATTCAGTGAAATTGCTTTTATTAGCGTATAAATCAACAGTGCAAAAATCGTAGCATACTTTCTAGCAGTCCCTCGTTTAAATTAAATTTATGCGCCATTTCGACTTGTTTACAAGTTGTTTGGCCCGAAGTGGAAAGCCAAAGACAAAACGGGCTAGAAAACGGGAGAAATGGTAGAAGAGGCAATCGTCGTGTGGCGATTCACACTTGAAAAGTGCATGAAAGGCCGGGCTTAACGACTGTTCGAAGGAGTAAGGCCCTGATACTCGCGCCATTGCCCATTATTATGCCCTGAACATAATAATAAAACTATAAATTAAATTAACTCATAAAAATTCCGTGTGCATAAAAAGGAAAAGACCGACCCACCACCATCCCGAAACCCGAATAATAACTTTGCTTTTGTTGCAGCCCGCCAAGAAAGCGAAGTGGGTGGGCGACGTGGGAGGCCATCTATCTATCTGTCTATCCGAACGATGTCAGTCTCAGGCTGCTGCGTTGTCCAAAAACTGCCCGCCAGAGACCGTTCGCCACTCCGTTCCGTTCCCCAATCCTCAGACTCCTCCTTTTCAAGCACTGAAAGAAAATTTACTTTCAAGCAAGTGAAACCCTTAAAAATTTGTTTTTGTTTTATTTATTATTTTTATTGTTTATTTTCATTTTTGAAATTGCTTTTTGTTATCTTTCACGTAAAGATAGATAACTAGATAATTAGATGCATATATTAATAATTTATTTTATTTTTAATTTTTAATAATAATATTTACTGGCTTTCAGTTAACCGAGTATGAAAAACAATGAATAATGAAAATAATTATTTTATTTCTGGAATTATTTGGTATCTAAATACTTTGGAAAGTTTTCTTGTGGCAACCTAAACATTATTTAGTTTTTGAAATTTTTTAAAATTGAAATACTAAGACCAGAAATTTTTCATTACCTTTTGCCAGCATAATACCAATTTTCTGGTCTAAGCATTCAATTTTTTTTCCCGGTGCTTCCTCTGAGTTTATTCCACTTGCCCATTCTGCACTCGGGCTTGCTCACATTTTATGGGGCATACATATAGGCGCTTTGGCTTGTAAGTAGCATGTAAGTCGGATGATTTAAATTCTTGTGAGCACACCAAACGAACGATGCTGCTTTTTTCTCCTCGGTGCGATATATAAAGCGTCAGCGCGCATTTTTGATTTGATTTCATTGCCAGAACTGAGACTCGAACTGCCCAGTAGGCCATTCCATTGAAGACGACGCGACGTGCTTGTAAATATTTATTAATGCTGTGAAACTTTCCATTTGGTTTGGATTCCAAGCATTCGCTGTGTACGAGTATCCAATGCGATTCTTCAGTGGCTTTGATTTTTATTGAGCTCAGTTTGAAAATGGTTTTGTGGTCGAATGTTTTGTTAAATTCTCATAATCTGAGTGGCAAACAAAGGAAATTGATTGGACTTTTATCTAATGCTTTCGCTTGGCTTTGATTTGAAAATTGGCTAATTTGGTGTGAAATAATTTTAAAATGCAGCTGCTTTATTCTTTGCCAATCGGTTTAAATATAATTATTTGACCACATTAATAGGGACAATAATTTCCTAAGAGTCAAGGATTTTCCAGAAAGAGGATAATATTTTTAAAGATAACTATTTGTATGTTACTCTGTGAGCTTTCTTCTAATTAGAGCTGTTTTATGGCTTTCGACTTCCTGTCTGATAATAGGTACTCAAGATTTTCGATAATTAAATACTTGATACGATTCCTCATATGAAGCTCTATCAATTCATTTTGCCTCTGCTTAAAGGTTTTCTTGTGTTTTGCAATACGCTTTTTGATTTTAATGATTTTCAGATGTTTCTTTGGCTTGCTAACAAAGCCGATTTCCCGCCACGGATTATTCATTATTGTTATTATTGGATTAACTAATAAGCTTACAACTAAAATTTTGAAACAATGCCGAGCCGAATTCAATATTGATTGGTAAATCAAAGCCGAATTTAATAAACTTTAGTTTGATGGGGCCAAACAAACCCCGTCGTCCAACAATAACAACAATGAAATGCATTCAGCTTTCGGAGCAAGAGGCTGTGATGATGACGTTTAAAGCAATTACAAGCGAAAGCAAGCCAAAGTCCACGCCCACTGAAGCCGCCCACTGAACAACAATGTGCATACAAATGCAAATTGCGCTCTGGCATACGTTGCGTATACGTAACGCCAAATGCCAGCGGCAAGAGCGCCAACAACAATGCATTTTCGCATTGCGTGAACAAAATAGTTTTGTGTTGCGGTTGTTTTTAGTGGCTCCATGGGTGCAAGCGGGTTTTCCGTGGGCGGTTAAGGGACAGGAAGATTGAAGGGGCGAAGGGGAGAAGGCGATAAGTGGGAGTGGCAAGCGTTGGACAAGGACCGTACTACATCTACAACAAGTGCAGTGGCAATTACTGGGCGTGTAGCAGCAGCAGTCGACAGGCACGAGCAGCAGAAGGAACAGAAGCAGGAACTCAAAGCCAGGAGGGGGAAATTCTAGAGTTGCAATTTCCAGTTTCTTTTCGCGGGCTTAACAAATGCATAACCAAGCGAGAAGAACAAGAAGGCAGCTTTCTAACTGCGGAAAACGGCGAATTCATGAATTCTCTCACTCTGTGGTAGCAGATGTTTGAATACAATAGAAACAATCATAAAATTAAAGTAATGTAAATATTTTTAAGTTGTTTTAACGATTTTACAAAGGAAAATTCTTGATACACCAGACTTTTGGGTATTCTAATCTTTTCAAAAATCACGGAAATCGCTAGGTGAAACCTATATAAAATTTGTAAATGTGCAAATTTTTCTTATTTTGGCTACAATATTTCATAAAAGTAAAAGCATTATTCGGAATAAATGTTACTTAAGTATTTAATTTTTGTTATAAAAACTAACATAAAATATTTGCTTTAGCTTATTGAATAGCGAAACAAACTCAAAATGACTTCATAAATACCCTTTCCTAAGCTAACCCCGCGGCATTGTTGAGTTTTGTTTGGTTGATTGCTGGCTGCTCGGATGGTGGGTTGAATTGTGTGCAGAGTGCAGGGCTGTTTCTGTTTCGCGTGCTGAGCATTTAGTGACACATTTTAGTGGTTGCCGCAAGCAAATTGCAGGTGCAAATCGAAAGATGTTGTCGCCGGGCCAACGGGGCGCGCATAAATGGCGAGTGCCCCAGAGCCAAAATCTCACCCAACCTCATGGTTTACCTACTCAAAGCCAAGCCCACACGCATCAAATCATGGCAACGCAAACCAAAATTGACTTTAGCGAAATGGGGGAAAAAAATGAAACAAACACTGATAAAAAAATATTAAATAAGGCATTATAATACGTATGGTGTTTTAATTTTAATAAGATACCTGATTGCTTTATGCTAAACATTTAGATACTTTAATGAATTCTTTTTTTTCATTTCACTCTTTAAACATGTAATGCTTTGACATTATACATGCTATTTTTATCAAGATATCCGCTTTTTCCCCAGTGAGCTTTTCCGGACCCTTTCCCCCCCCTCCTCAGCTGTGTATAAATAAAGCTCCCAATATAATAGAAACAGGCTTGGGTGAGCAGAGCAGGAAAAGAATGGAGCAGAAACGAAGGGAACGGGCTTCGGAGGTCAAGTTCGGAATCCATTTGTGTGCATTTCAGTTTCGGTTTAAATCAAGAGCGGGACACAGCTCCGGACAATCATTCGGGCTGACAGGATGTGCGCTTCACTGCGCTGATTGTGAGTCGAAAAAGGCTAACGAAATGCGAATGCCCATGCACAGAAGCTAATACTATATATTGTGCAGGATCTGGGCTTCTTAAAGCTGATTTCCACTCACCTAAAACCCCCAACTCATTGCCATTCCGGGGCACTTTGCTAATTGAATTTATGCCGACGCCACTTGACAACTTCCTGCAACAGGCAGGCAACAGAAACCCGCCTCCTTCGTCTGGCAACAGTTGGCAACGTGTTAATTTAACAAAAATTACAACTGCAAGGCAGCCAGGCATCCTGCTTCCTTTTTTTATCCTTCATCTTGCCTTTTTGCTCATTAAGCATATGGCAACAAGGTGTAAATATGTTTCCCACTGCTCCGTCAGCCTGTTATTATTTTTTCTTCCCGTTCGCACAAAAAGCACAGCCAAGCGGGTGAACATTTCCCCCTCCCCTCCTCCAACATCACCACATTTAGACCAGCGACAAGCCCTTCTGCGTGTCCTTGTAGTCCTTGTAGTCGGCTGTCGTCTAGGCTGCTTTCCATGACAATTTAAATGCCTGTTGTCTGAGCACATCCTGTGCGAAAAAGGGGTAAGGTGGTCGTAAGGGGGATGAAGGGTGGTAAAGTAATAGCCGCTTCTAGCTGCGGTTCCTTTGGAATCATTTTCCATCTTCACGGGGGAAGCAAAGGGGTATATAAGACCATTTAAAACGATAAATCAAAAATGATCATTAATAAATTTGTTCATGTTTAACAATAATTCAAAACTAAATGAATATACAATTTAAGAATTTTTATTCAAGTTGTTACATTTGTTTTAAGTCATTTAAGGTTGGTATTATTGTTTGTTGGTTTTGCTTAACTAAGTAATGCTGATTTTTCCTTCATAAGTTATCATTCAGTCGAGTCTTTTTCCAATCATAATTGTTAATAAACAAGTTTTTTTATGTTGTATTTACACTTTAATGAATTGCATGTAATTACAAATGTATGGGTTTTTGTTGTCGAGGTCTTCTCAGTCTTCGTTGGGGGCTTCTTCCTTTTATTAAAGGGGAAAGTGGAATAGGTCGAGTGGCAGAACGAAAAAGCTGCGAAGAAAAAGCAGCCATTATCATAGAGATATGAAAGGAAGGGAAAACCGGGAGACTCTGTCAATGCAAGGGAGAACATTTTAAAAAACCATTAAACATTATCAGAGTTTAAAAAGATATTAAATGGATGAGTCTAAGGAGCAGACATGTTTTAAAGTGTTTTTTTTTTAACAAAGGAGAAAGCACATCCTTTAAAGCTTTATCTATTTTATATTCTATACAAAATGGATTATGTGCAAACTTTCACTATTAAGTACCATTTAACTCAAAAGTTTAATCCTACTCTTGCTTTTTTCTTGCATAGCGAAGGAATCAATTTTATTTTATGTTAAAATAAATGGTGGCTTAATCCTTATTCCTTTTCGTATTAAATTACTTTACTTTCAATATTACTTTGAGGTAGGCTTCGCTCTTGAGGCTGCTCCATTTTGGGCAACCATTTTATCATATGTTTTGGATGAAATGTAAGCCACTAATTAAAACTAAGTGGCGGGGGCAAAACATCGTCGAAAATATCGTGCTCATGCTGTAACCTCTATTAACCCGAGCGACGCCCAATTACACTTTCGGCTACCATTTTCTTTTTTTTTTTTTAACGCCTTCTCATCGTTGAGAGTGTGAAAGAAGAAAAGTGGGCGGAGGCGCGGGAAATGGCGATGACTACCCTCGGAAATTTTTGACATTTTGACAGGACTAGAAGTTTACAAGCACCGCAGGCAACATGAGGCAACATCATCGGCAACAACAACAGTAATAGTAACTGTAACACCAACAGCAGCAGCACATGGGAACGCATTACGCATACGCCGCGTAACCGTTGGTGTGAGTATGTTTGCGCTAGACCCAATTCTAATTTGTTATGTAACTGTGCGGGTGAGGATGTGTGTGGGCGTGTGTGTGAGCGTTTGGGTTAGATAGGAAACCGTACAAGTGATGTTATAACGTGCGGAGTTTTCAGCGCTTCAAGCATTTTGACCTGGCTCATTATGCTTCATGCGGCAAAGGAGATGTTCGGGTGGGATTTTAGTTGAAAGGCATATAAGAAAGTTGATTACTAGTGTAGTGCTTGTTTACATTACCGCGCTTGTTCTTCCTTATCAAAATACTCTTGGGAAAGGCATTCTTGGGAAATGCAGAAAATACAAAAATTCTGTTCAGTTTTAAAGGTTAAAAATAGTTTTGCACTGTTAATTGTAATTTAATCTAAATTAATATTGCAATAAAGTTAGCTGGTTCTTATGAAAGCACATTTTTAGCCTTGTAAAGTTCTATCATTTGAGAAGCTAATTTATTGTATTGGAGTTATGGCTTTATTATTAATTAGTATGTTGATAAAAAGATTACCTGAGACCTCTTTTAATTAAATGTAATTTTTAATTAGGGAGGGTATTCAGAGCTGACTGGAATAACTCTGGGCGGAGTAGTTTTGAAAGGGCCTCGAGCAGTGTCACCTTGTGCCCGACTGTCTGCCTGACAAATGGCGCACGTTTTACATATGTAGTTACCTCGAAAACCCTCCTAATTTTCCGCCTTTCCCAGCTTTCCCTGCCCCGCCCCCATCTTCCATCCTCCTCCCAGCTCATTCCGTCTCCCTCTATCCAGCGGACTGTGTAAATGTTATACAAAATGCCGCAAACGTGTGCGTGGCAAATTTGTAAAGTGCAAAATTTATGCGTAATGTGAGGGCGTTACCAAGGCGAGCCCCCACTTCCCCCTGCGGCTTACAAGTTTCAAGAGGTTTCGGGATCCCTAGTTTTCGCTCAGTCCAACATAACCCCCTTTCCCTCTTTCCCCCTTTTTCCCCGCAGCAATCTCTTTGGTTCCGCGGATGTGGGGTGTGAAGTTTTTGGCATATTCAAGTGCGAAAAGTTGCAATTTGAGGCCGCTAACCAAAAAATATAACTGTCTAGTCTGAAGCTGGGTGCGCGCATCTATATATATACATATATCTGTATATACATATGTATGTATGTATGTGTGTACGTTTAATTTTCTCACCAAACTAAAATGTTTTTCGTGGCGCAGCAGTGGCAACATCATCCTCCTCGCGCACTCATGCAAATATTTGGGTTGACTCTGGGCGCTTCTATGGCAACCGTTGAAATGGCGGCAAAAGGTTAGCAAAATAAC